TATGCATTTATGTAACAATTTCCTTATGGGTCATTGTTGAATAGAACTTGGGTCCTTCTATACCCAGAGAAAACGTTCCCATCACTGTAAATACAAATTAAGTGCTTTAAACAGTGTCAGGGCAGTTCTTCTCTACACCAGCAAGCTTAGGAGTTGCCTCACAATTACATCCAGAAAAACAGAATTCCATTCTCCAGCACTTCTACAATATCCCAAACTCATGCATTTGTGAAATAATTCCCACAAATAGCCTTTGGGGCTTGTGTAGCTTTTAAATCATAAGAAAAGAAGGAAAAGGGAAAGAACCGAGGGAATGTCTTGATCAGAGTCAGCTCATTGCACAAAGCAGGTTCAGGATGTGCTGCTGCATTTTTGTTGCTTACAGCTGCTCTCGGAGATAAGTGGCCCCTTTGAAATGTGAAGTATAAATTAGCAAGGTGTTTCTGCAAAGGATGTGTCACATTTTGTGAGGTTTGTGCAGTCTTTGTTCAGGTGATCAAGCAGAGCCTTACCCTGCTTACTGGTTAACTTGGTCTGAGTGGAATCAGTGGCTCTCAGTGCCCCTGTCCAGAGCTGGGTGACTCAGCTCCTGTTGCAGCAATTTGCTTTGTTTGATGAAAATCCTGATGGGAGCTGCAGTTCCTGCTGATGGGTAATGATATTCCTGTGAGGAAACCACCCCCTGTCGAGAATAGAGGGACCAAATATGAATTCCTTTGAGAAGCCAGTAAATTGATTTTTTTTTTCCTAAAGTGTGACAACCCCATATGACACTGAGATTATCATCACAGGTGTGTTGCAAGTGGGATCTGCTTGGACTTACAGAGAAAAAAGGGAGCATCAATGGCATGGCTTTAGGATGGTGCCTTTTAAGAGCTGACCAGCTCAGAGCAACAAAGAGTACAAAGATTTAAAAGAGGAAAAGCCTCGTTACTAATGGCAATTTGATGTTTCATCACTAATGTGAAAAAGAAATGTTAAATACACACCAAGCTTTGTGAGGAATGTGTCACTGCCCAGCAGAGAAAGCTTTTTCACATTCTTATGGAAGAAGGATGAGTCTGAATCCCAGTCCCAGGAGCTAAACAGGCTTAAAGATGCTGTTCCAAGGAATCAGAGCAGTGGGATGTGCAGATTTGGAGGACAGGACTTGGCAGCCATTGTGGCTCCTTTAGGCAATGCTCAAACTCAGACCAGTGAGGCTGTTTTATCACTTAACTGGCCTGGATAGCTCTCTATAAGCACCTTCCAAGGAATATTTTGAACTCCAAAAGAGGCCTCCTGACTGTGAGAACAACTTCTTGTCAACAGCCCCTTTCCCTCCTCCCTGACACGCTGCCATTTAATCTCTGTGACCACCCTCACTCCACAACCGGCCCCCTCAGCCCCCAATTCTTGCAGCACTTGCCAGCCACAATCAGCGTCCCTGTCACAGTCCCAGCCCTGGCAGAGCCTCTCAGTCTGAGGAATCCCTCGTCTTGTTCCCACAGCTCATCCAGGCTGACACGTGTCTCCTCCAGGGCAAGAAATATGCTGCCCTCGAGGCGTGGGCATCAGTTCTAACCACTGCTCAGCCTCCTCAGTGCCACAAAAACTTCAAACACAAGGCTGATTTCATGGCATCGAGGCTGTCTGGAGCTTTTTCATCACAGGAAGTTGTATCAGAATGTCTATTTGCTCCACGACAAATTGAAGAGCCTTTTGCTTCTCAGTCACGAGTGACCACAAGGCCCCCAGATTAAAAAAAAAAAAAAAAAAAAAAAAAGCTTGGGAAAATCTGGCACATCCAGAAAAATGTCATCCTTTGCATATTTTAATGATTCCCAGGAGCCTCAAAGGGCTTGGGATTAGTCCTTACAACATCAGAGTGGAGCAGAACAAACACTACCTATTTACTTGTCTGATACAAACATACTTAAATGCCAAACTTGATCCGTATTCCGAAGGCCTCCAAGTTCAAGAGGTTTTATCTCCGGGTCTATATGTCAAGTTGATCTCTTTTCTCTATAAGGTTATGCTATTTTCACCATTAATGTCCCCTCTTCCTGAAAAGTGGACATTTTACAATGTAACCCAGCTTTTCTGTTGCACATTTCCATGACTTGGCTGCATTTTCTACTTACTAGTCAATGGATTTCTGACTTATTGCAGATTTGCAATGATGGCATTTCCGATTTTCTCACCTCTTTTCCATGGGCTGTGAGCATCTTAATTCTTTCCATGACAGCTGTGAGCATCTTAATTCCTTCAGTTTTTACATGTTCTTGAAGCACAGGCAAAATAACCTCTGTTTCAGCGGGTTTATCATCAGTAAAAACCCTTGTAATTTCTGAAGATTGGAGTGAGCTGGGCAATGTTATGGCAGGGAGGAAATATAAATGAGATATTCTTGGTGCAGCCACATGCTTGCAGCGCTGCTTCAGCTTCATGGGTTTTTTGGGGGGGGTGTTGTCTGGAATAATTTAGGTCAGCTGAGTTTTGCAGGGGGGGGAAAAAAAGAGGGAGAAACCTTGATTAGCAGAGCTATTCTGTCTGCAGTTTTGTCTTGTGGAATATTTGAGATCAAGATACGTTCAGGATTTGTCACTGGCTGGTTGGTGTTTGGGTTCCTGGCTGCTTGATGTTTGGGTTCCTGGCTGGTTATTGTTTGGGTTCCATCACCACTGAGCTCAGGCTGAGAGCTGGAGAAGCCTGGGCTGGTCCTGCCCTGAGCTCAGCTGGAGTCACCACAAAGCTGGGGACGCGTGAGGCGGGTTTACATGGCCCAGGTGAGAACAGCTCATCAGTTAAACAGCTCAAAGGGGATATTTTGCTACCAGGTGTCACTAATGCCACCTGACAGCTCTGGAGGAGCCGTGCCTTTTCCTGTTTAAGGAGCTCCCTACCAGAATTCATTTCATCTCGTTACCTTGGGCTCCTTTGGGTGTTGTGGTTGTATATTTAATTGTAAATGGCTCAATAAAAAACAGACCAGACCTGTGCTTGGGGAGCCCTGCCCAGGCAGCTTTTGGATTTAGAATTAATGTTTTCATACAAATTTCATAGGTGGTTCTTGTGCCTCTCAGTAATTCCCTGTACATCAAGCCAGTCATTTCTTTCCATATATGAGCTTTGCTTTTAGAAGCACAGTAGATGATAACCATAAATGTTTCATTGGTTATAAATACTTAATAATTATGAATGATTGATGAGTAGATTTTTAAGCAAACTGATCAGAGTTGTATGAAAGTAGGGATACCTTTGTATTATTTTCTAAGCTGCATTCTAAGTCTTATCTGGGCTTTGCTGTGCTATAAAAGTGCCTGATTGGTATTGTAATTAAAAATATTAGCAGATGGGAACAAACAGAAAAATACACTTTTAATAGATTGGCAATAAAATTAATATGGAGGACTTCCTTGTGGATACAAGAATTTCTGTATCCACCAGTTTTCATTCCGCTGTAATCCATCCTTTATGGATTATTTTAGAGGTGTTTTTTTCCAGGAGAATGCCTTTAATAGCACAGTACTAATAGCTGGCTGTGATTCAGTGACTTTCACCTATTTTGCTTTCAATTTTTTTCTAATTGCCTTTGATCTCCCCGGGGCTTTGAAGCCTAAAAAAAACCCCAATAATAATAATAATAAATATATATATAACGCTTATCTAATTATCAGGGCTCTTGCATCTCTGAAAGATTTCATTAACAACGCTGCTCTCTGCCTCATGCCCTCAAGCTGAGGGGCTCATCCCTGTCCCGCTGATGTTTTTGGGTGTCTCCCGGATGGATCCCTTTGCCAATAGGTGCCACTGTTGCTCTGCACACACGTCCGAGTCGCCAATGCCCTTCAGCTGCAAACCCAACCTTGAGAAAGCAAACCTAAATCACGGTGACTAAAATGTTGCAGAGGTAAAACTCCGTCCAGACTATGGCCAGGGGCTTGTCCGTGCCAAGACTAAGGTATATGCTTTATCTTCTTCCTAAAAATAACTCTACTATTGCTAATCTTGAGCAAAAAAAAATCTGATGAATTGCACTGAAGTAATTCCAGATATATTGAATCTAAGCAATTAACTTGCTGCAGGTTTATTGTTGAGCCTCAGACCAAGAGCTCTGCAGATCTCTGCTCTGGACCAAACGTGATTTCGAGGCAGAAGTTGCACTTCAGGGCAATAAGAATTTGGGCCTCTGGCAGCACTTTTTCCATAGGTCGTTTGGGTACTTTCTCAACAGAGTGAGGTCTCAGGGCTATTCCCTCTCAGAGCTCTTCCCTCCATGTTTACAGTTTGGTAATTCAAGGTCAGCTAATGGAGTTTACTTTGCAGCTTATCTACCCTTAAGTGCTGTTCTGGATGTAAAGCCAAGGGCAATCAAGGTCTGCCTGCTTCCTGCACTGGGAGGAACCTTGCTTCACCTTGGCCTTGCATATGCAGCTATTTCATATGTCTGCTTTATTCTTGGATGTTTCAGGCATATTATGGAATAACACAAGGTTCTTTTCTGCTCTTTTTTCAAGGAAAAAAAAAAGAAAAAAAAAGCACATCCAGCTGTGTAAAAATGACAAAACAAAGGGCAAAGTGATTAGGAGGTTTATGTCCTTTCAGGTTCAATCACAGTTGTTGGGTTTTTTTCCTTACTGCAGCTATTCATTGACTACAAACCAAAAGATAAAAAAAATCTGTTTCCTGTGGTTTAATATCTCCTGAAATATTCCTGGCCACCTGCAGGTCGGGATGTAATCCAGCAACTTGTTCTAACTAGTAAAAAGCTCTGTGCCTATATAACCTAATTCTCATCCCTTCTGCATGGCCCAGCTCACACAACCAGTCTATATTAATAGCAGTGCTTAAGATCACCCTAAGCAGTTTACACAGCGTTGTCCCTGGCTGTTCTGTCTCTCAGCAGTTGGCCAAAGCCTTACAGATATTCTGACCCCTTTTACAGGCCAGGATTCTATGAGATTTTGGGGAAGATGTCCCTGGCTGGAAGGCAGAGCAGGAGTTCTTAGCTGGTTGTCTCAGCTGACAAGAGGCAAAAGCAGAAGTTTTGGGGCTTTCACAGGAATTGGACAACATCCTGGTCTGGATTCAGCTTCTTTCTTGTGCAGTTTCTCATCAGGTGCTCGAGAAGCCCAGAGCTGGTGGGTGGTTCTGAGAAATGATGAGATGTTAGAAATTATGGAATTCAATTTTTGGTCCTGGTGTTCCCACTCCACAGTTGACACAGGGGATGTTTGTACTGTTTTGACACAAAATAAGGGCAAAACAGATCTTTTGGTTGCCAGGGCATGTGTGTCTTCCTCTGGCTGGAAAATCACTGTTAGATACCAACAGGAACTGCAGTAATGGCATCAATCAGGAGTCCTGACTCAGCATAGCCTCTCTGGTAGATATTAAAATTAGCACAGCTTTATTTCCCCTAAATTCAGAAACCTCATAACACTCCATGAATTCTTCTGCTCCTTGTATTCCACAGCTCTCCTTGCCTTCAGCTGGTATTAAAAAGGGGAGAGAAATCTGCCCATTGACACTCTCCTTCACTGCTTCCTGTGGTGATTAAGTATTGTATGGACAACATTTCCACTTTATCAATCCAAAAAATAAACTCCTGACTGGGTAAGAAAGTAGCCAAAAGTCACCACAAGATCCATTTTCGGAATTAAAACAGGAGGAGGTTCCTGGCTCTAAATCCATATATTGACCACTGCACCATGTTCCATCTGATTGAATTAATAAGTCCAAAAACTACTGAGAATGGGGAAATCTGATTTCTGAGGAATCCAGGCCAACTTGCATCCGCTCCAGCTCTGGAGGGGAGGCAGCACAGGTTGTAACTGTGTTTATTGCAGTTATTGTCATACTCCAATACTAAATTTTGGATTCTTTGTTCCTTGTGATGGGTGAAGAAATGCTGCAGTGCCAGGCTGTGAAATGAGATGCTCATGATGAAATCAAGCTGCTTGTGCACAGCATTCAGGTGGCTCAGGGTGCTTTTGAGTCTGACTGTGCTGCCAGTGATATCACACAATTGTCAGCCCTTGTATTACTTTTACTTATCACTTAATCCCTGAAAATAAGGGCATTTGCACTTCAAGCAAAGTAAATTTCCAGTTAACTTAAGCAATTGCATCTGCACGTCATGAGATCTGATTAGTCTGATTTCCACACACGCATCACGGATTTGCAGACACACATTTAAGAAGGCTGAAAATGAAAAGCTGATTGTCTTGTGCTGCTTAAGTGTTTTGTGGTGCAGCAGCATTGCATATCCTACCTTCCAGCTGTCTGTCTGGAGAGAGTGATAATATTTGGGGGTGTTGAGGCACCTCGGTGGAAAGGGATGTTCCAGTAGATGACACTTGTGGGAAAAACATTGTGAAGGATCTGGGCCTCAGTGTAGTGCAGGTTTTCTGTATAAATTGGAGGTGTGCTGATTCAAATAATCCTATTTTACCACCAAGCTCCTGTTAGAGCTCACAATACCCAGTCCCAGCTGGTCGTAACACACTGGTCACCCTCCAAGGCAGAGACTGGGGAACATCCAGAGGGTACCAAGCAGTGGGTGCTGTTTGTGTGCCTTGGAAGGGCATCCCTCTGGAATCCAACCCACAGGGGAGCTCTGCAACCTGGGAATGGCCAGGGAGCTGCAGTGCCTTCCATTACACACACAGTTGTTTAAGGATATATAAAATAGGATTTAAGTATTAGTCACGGATCATCCCTGTCTGGAATGTTGGCACACACAGCCCCCCACACTGGAATTTTCTTTTCCTTACCTCAAATTTCTCCATGGTGGCTCTCCTCAGTGTTTGGGTTGTGAGCAGATAAAGACTCTCCTGTATCAGCTGCTGCTGAGTTTCACAGTGTCTTTTACAGACATGAGAAATACACAAAATTCAGCACAGCCAAGGCAGCCCAGTCATCACAGCAGCTCTGTCCCAGTGCTCCTTTCTTCCTCTGTGCATCTAAAAAGCACTTTTTTGGGAAGAAGCCTGGGTTATGTACTTTGTCTAAGCTGTTAAAGTCAGCTGGTGTAACTAGCTAGTGTAAAATTCTGGATTGGTTCCTTAGTATAAGACATGTAAAATATTGCTAATTATAAATTATTACTTATAATTGTTAACTACAAAAAATATATATAAATTCTGTACAGTCCTTGAAAAATTAGCCGTGGCTTGGTGTTAAATACTTTTACCTGCCACACCAGCATCTGAAAAGGATGAATTATCTTTGTTTTCCCCCTTTGGTCCTATTTCTGCTGCAGCAGCTGGGCTCTGCAGTACAGTCTGGCATCTTGCTCCAGGAAAAAAAAACAACAAACCTAGGGGAAGTAATTTTAGCAGAGTCAGGAGGATTTGCCTGAACAGCTCCAATATTGAACCTAACTGGCATGTTTTGACAAAGTTAAATGTCTAATGACAGAATTTTGCTGAGCTCTTAGGCAGGGCATGAAAACTACTGAGCAGCTCTGCCAGCAAAGATGCTCTTGTTTCCAGAAGCAAATGAAACCAATATCCAAGTTATTAAAGACCCTCTGATACAAGTTATGAGAAGTTCTGACCCCTCTGTTCCTGCTCCCACCTTCATGATCTTCCCCTTTTTCTTTCCCAGTCCTGTCCTCTTCTCCAGCCAGTTTCCAATGGGAACTGTAGCAGAGTATTTGGGTTCAGTTTTCCACCAATCCCATCCATCTTTCTGTGATGCAAACATATTTCATTGTCTCACCAGCACTACCCTCCCTGGCTGTTGGAACCACCCTTCATGTTATGTGGTGGAACATTACCCAGTGCTAAATCTGGGACAGAAAGGGGCTCCAGTCCTGCCTGTGTGCTGAGAAAATTGTGTGATGTGTGGAGCTGCCATGGAACCATTTGTTTGTTACCCCCACAGCGACAGTGACCACATTTTAGGCTGCATTGTATTTATTGTTGACCAAAAAAGTGCCTTCTAACCCACTACAGTCAGCTGAGGTGGGTTGTTTTGATCTAACAGAGCTCAGAACTCCTCTGCACCAACAAACCACACACACCTGCTAACACACAGTTTCTCTTCATACACGCACATTTTATTTTAAACAGCTGGTACAGACCAGGATGTCCATTTAAAGTACCATTCTCCTTTACTGACAGAGCTAAAGATAAGGGCTTGCAGCATGGTACAGGCTTGTATAAGGTTTGCATATTCCATGTTCCAACTAACAGCTGGAATGATGTTCTGATGAGCTTTGTTTATCATTCTTAATGGCTGCCCTTGACTGACTACCCATCACCTGATATTAAATACCCTAAAAAGATATCTTCCTAGGTCGAGGCGTGAACAGACTCGTGGAATCTAAGACGTTAACTATAAGCTTTTCAGGAAGTTAACAACGCTGTCCAGTCCCCTTTTCCCGGATGGAAATGAGAAACCACAGTAATCATAGAGGCTTATGATTCCGTGGAACCCATCCTCGAGGTGGTACCAGGTCACCCGAACGCCGTTGTCCTCCAGCCTCTTCTTGTACAACAAGCCGTCGTCCCGCAGCACGTCGTACTCACAGGTCAGGATGAAAGATTCCGGCAGCTGCTGAACAACAGAGTCTTCAGCCAGCAGAGGGCACAGGTTGGGCTCACAGAATCTCTTCACCGTCTCGTAAACTTCAGCTATGAAATCGGTGGGCCTCAGGGGTCTCACACCTCTGACCTTAAATTTCTCGGGGATGTTGTCCGGACTCACCCACTTGGTGTACTTCAGCCTCATGTCTGGAGGAATGTGAGAGCCCTCCAAGACCTCTTGCATGTGCAGTGCATCCCCCTTGAGGTACAGCAAAGCAAAGAAAGCAGCACGTTCTCGGAACAACAAGGGGACTCCTCGGTTTTGATGGTAAGATGGTAAATTGAAGTCCAGGGCCTGAAGGCCTGGGTAGAGCAGGATCTGAGCACGCAGTTTGGGGAAGTCTGACCTGCCTACAAGGGTCTGGCTCACAGCAGCTGCCAGGTTGCCCCCAGCACTGTCCCCACAGACAGTGACACGGGCAGGGTCCACTCCATAGTGCTCCAGGTGGTGCAGGAAGTGCTGGGTGGCGTTCAGGCAGTCGTCGTACGCAGCGGGGTATTTGTGTTCAGGGGCCAGACGGTACCTGGGACACACAGAGGGACAAGTGTAAGAGAAGGGAATGTTGTTAGCAGCAATCAGGAAATGGTGTCATATCGTTGTCCTTCAGCCCTATCATTTTGGGGTGCTCTTGTTCCACATCACCTCCCAAGCAGGCACTCCTCAGTCTGTGACTGCACATAACCTGTAAATTGTGTGTTCAGTCACAAGGACTTGCTGAAATAGGACTGCCTCTGATTCAGGGAATTGTGCAAGGTCTTACTCACACTCAAAACTTCCTCTGTCCTCTTAACAAGATAATTTAATCATTTTGTGCCCCTGCCTCCTATCTTAAAATGGGAGGAACACATGTGATTATTCTCTCTTTTCCTGTAGATCCCAATTGCCTGGAGGATTTTATTTCATGTTCACATGTTCAGCACAAGGAAGACTTTTTTCATCTAAATTCTTTATTGGCTTTTATATATTTCCTTAGTGTGCCAAATATTTCCATGTGTATCTTTCCTGAGCATCCCTGGGCACGAGCAGTTAAGGGCTGGGAAATCTCCATTATCTCTCTTTATGGTCTTCACTGACTTCTACAAAAATTTCTCTGACGAAAAAAGAGCATCTCCAAAACCAGTGCAGCTCTGCTGTGGCACCACAGCAACAATAATCTCCCAGCAACAGAACTGGGTAGGGTTCACTTACTGCACAGACACAACCACCGAGTCACTCTCCCTGGAGAGGTAGCGACACACCTTTTCATAGGTATCTGGAAAAGAAATACTGTCATCAGTGCTTTGCTACTGCCCTCATCTTTGAGACAGCCTAAGGAATGCTCATTCCAGAAAGGCTTCCGACTTCCTCCCAAAATCACACCCTTATTTCAGTTTTGTGAAAAGACTTTACTGCAATTCCTCCAGCAAGGATCTTACCAAGGCTTCCAAATACCCAGCCTCCTCCGTGAAAAAAGAGGATGCCTCTCCTTCGCCCGTCAGAGGTAGATTTAGGCTGATAAACCCTCACAGGAACTTCATTAAACTGCAGATCTTGGATGAAGAGCTTTGGATCCAGCCCCAGTTTCCGTCCCTGTCGCACATATCGGCCAAAGGTGATTTGGCTGCAAAGCCCAGTCTTCTCCAAAATCCTTCCCTGTTAAAGGTGAAAGAGATTAAGGCATCTTTAAAAGTCTTGAGCTAGGCAAGGTATAAAAACTGCATCATACATCAAACGGTATTTGAGGGAAATTATACAGAGCTCTGATTCGGAAAAAAAAAAACCACCACCAAACTTTTCCAAGTTCTCACATCCTACAGTCTGTAAAAAAATTTACTTGTACAACTCAACTCCAGTGTCACTGTAATGTCACATTAGAAATAAAAATTGCAGTATATATTTTACCTGTCAGTATTGTCCTGCACATCTTTGTGCTCATTCTTGTTTCATTTATACTTGGTAACAGCAATGAACTGTCATATGTAGAACCAGTTCGTCACTGCAGAGGCTGATATTCAAGAATTCAGTGAATTTGCAAATCTAAAGTGCTGAGCTGTGTTGTGCAAGTTAGTTATTGCTTTTTATTTGCACAACAGATCTACTGAACAAAATGAAACTGGCTTGCTTTCCCAATGCTCTTGCAATGCTCTTGCAAGCTACAATATAAATCTGATGTAATAAGTGAACAAACAAGAAGCTGGCGACCAAACACATAAACTGTTACACTGTTCACTGGCTAAACAAGATCCCTATTTTTAATGCCCAATGAGTCTCTCTTTATCCACTCCCTTGTCACCTGCTAGTGGATCAAGACAGACTCACTGGGCATTAAAAACAGTGGAGGTTCAGGAGAGCTGGGCAGCTTTGTCAGTAAATTTAAAGAGGATGTAAACGGTTTAAACACCTGTGTGGAGGAAAACAAAGTCTGTGTGACAGCAGGGGTGATGCTGTGGCAAAAGGAGTGACGGAGGAAACTGAAGATTTTAAGAAATTCAAAGACAGAGCGAGTGCCAGCGCCAGAGCTGAGGAGGGCTCTAAGGCCGTTTATGCAATGCTGCCAAAGGGAGTCCAGGGATTAAGTAAAGCAGCCCTAACCGGATTGTGTGCCATAAATGTCAGAGCCATGGCAGGAGCAGCTGAAGAGCTGCGGCTTTCCTTGAGCAAGGTGATCTCGCCTAAAGGTGCGGGCAGTTACCAGGCAAACCACCCCCTCCAGCCCTCAAATCGGGGCTTGCAATGGCAACCACCGCTACCACCGCCCGGCGCGCTCCCGAACGGCGTCTGCCCGCGACATGAGCAGCGTCGCGACCGGGGATGCCCGGGGCAGCATCCTCGAGTGGGGATACTCGGGGCAGAACCCCACCGGGGTGGCCGGGGCAGCATCCTCGAGTGGGGATGCTCGGGGCAGAACCCCACCGGGGTGGCCGGGACAGCATCCTCGAGTGGGGATGCTCGGGGCAGAACCCCACCGGGGTGGCCGGGGCAGCATCCTCGAGTGGGGATGCTCGGGGCAGAACCCCACCGGGGTGGCCGGGACAGCATCCTCGAGTGGGGATGCTCGGGGCAGAACCCCGCCCGGGGAGAACCCGCTGGGAGGTGCGTGGGGCAGAACCCGCCGGGGGATGCCCAGGGCACTAAGAAGCCGCCCAGGGGTGCTCTGGGCAGAACGCAACGCCGGGTGGCCGGGGCAGAACCCGGCCGGGGGATGCTCCCCGCATCACCACCCCGCGATGCGGCGCCCGCAGCATCCCACGGAGCGGGCGGGGACCCAGTGTCTCCACGTTTCGTTCGCTCGTTGCACCCCCTCCAACCCCCCCAACCCACCGCCCCGGGGGTGCCCCCCCCCCCCCCAAAAACCGCTCCCCCCTCCTCCCCTTACCCTGCGAACCGCGACTCACCAGGGCGGCGGTGCCCAGCAGGACGGTGAGCACCAGGCGCAGCTTGGCCGGCTGGTTCACCCCGGGCGGGATGTCGTAGCTGGGCAGGCCGAGCAGCAGGGCGGCCGCCGCCAGCGCCGCCAGGGGCAGGAGCAGCAGCAGCAGCAGCGCGGGCAGCAGCGCCATGGCCCGGCCGCGGCGGCCCCGCGGGGCTCCCCCGGCTGCGCCGCTCGGCAGAGCCGCGGCCCCGTCACGGGCCGAGTGCGGCCGCTCCGCAAAGCCGCCGCAGGGGTCATGGTGCGGCCGCGGCCGTGGGGGGAGCCGCGAGGAACGGCCGGAGGCGCCGGCCGGGTAATCTCGGTTCAGGGAGGGCCCGGCGTGACCCGCGCGCGGTGCCGGCGAACGGAACGGCCCCGCCGCCCTGCAGAGGCGCGGGGGACATCGCGGGGGACACCGCGGGGACACTGCGGGGGACACTGCGGGGGACACCACTGCGGGGACACCGCCCCCCGTGCCCGAGCCGCAGCTCCGGCCGAGGGATGCCGAAGGAAGGGGCGGCCTTGGCCGGGGAAGGAAGGAAGGAAGGAAGGAAAGAAAGGGCTGCCCCCGGCGCGGGGAAATATAAAGGGAAGGCAGCGCGTGGGGGTTGCTCGTGGAAAGTTCTGATTTACTCGGTCTTGTGGGATTTTTTTTATTCCCTCCCCTCCTTAGGACGAGGAGCGATGGCCGTAAACCAAAACGCAAAAAGTTTCACCTCCACGGGAGGAAGAAGTTCTGCACGTTGAGGGTGGCAGA